CGCGGGCACGCATTTTTTCCCACCTCAAAAGATTGTTTTCCTGTAACGATGGCGCCACTGCAGTGCGGCCGTGTGGTGCAGATTATGAAGCTCTATCGTGAATCATAACAGTGAAATCCCATTACCAGAAAAGTTCAATGAATTCTACCATAACCCATAGTTATGCAATCCTTTTAAGTGCTCTGGTTGAATACAGCTTTGTAGCTAAGGCTTCTACTTACAGATATGGCGTTATCCTTTAGAAAATTAACTGGATACGTCGGACGTATTCAGAAAGGAAATGGTACCACGTATCTTTCTTTTCAAGACACTTTATTTAAATATTAATTTGTTTTCGCATGTTTCGACACAAAAGTTTATATTGATTCTCAAAAGAACAAACGCAGCTGTTGCAGCTGGTAGCCCTACTTTTCGCGTGACCCTTGCATCTCGTATTTTTGGGGCGAAATTTCAAGGAGTAAAAATACAGGGCTGCGCTGTCAAAGCCGGGGGAACCACCTTGCAAGCGCGCCGATAATAAGCCAGAGCGCAGTTCACGTTTGATACTTAACACAAAATGTGTCAGGAGAAGTTATTAATTTATGAAGTGGCCAGTGTCACTTTTCGGCCTGGACTGCATATGCTGTAGCCCGTCTATGACAGCCAGAGCAAAATTCACGGCAGGGACCGTGGCGCTTGCCTTCGATTTGCTGCGCCAGGCGAATTTTGTCATTGCACGCTTTTAATACAGTGGCCGCGTTGAAGAAGACACACAAGTACAGTGTTTTCTGATTAATACACAACACTGTGGGAAGCTGTACAATGGCCTAATCATCGCGCAGCACGGAAAGTTTTAATTAAACTCTTCACGAGCTTCGTTGTAAAAGCCCTCATGGACACTGTTAGTTTACACAACCAATTTAAGTTTACAGTGGAAATTGAATTTGTGAAATAATCAATATAGTTTAGCGCAAGCTTTTTCATACACTTGACCGTCACAGATGATTTAGGTCGCCCGCTGATGGCGACAGGTTAACTTAAGCGCTGACTGATTAAGCAAGCTCGCGAAGCAAGATTGGCTCCAAAAAGACGATTCAGAAGCACTTTGTAGCGTCTGGGAATAGAAATTGAATTACGGTGACTGTCCAAAGCTTAAATGCTGTATAGGTCTCCAAGCGTCCCTTTTCTGCAGAATTTATAAAATAATATAAGAAATATTTGTGCGAAATATGTGTTGATATAATATGAAAACATCCGTCAACAGGGGTTGTATACTCGAGCCGAAGTTTGGAAAAGTGAACTTGTCTTCTTCAAAGCTTGAACTGTTTAAGCCTTGAAGAACTCCACTTGTTGACACGTCGGTACACAACCCCTTTTGACGAATTTTTTCATCGCAAGCTTTCCCCTTTCTTGCTTTTCTTTTTGGATTTGCACTAAAATATAGCCATTTACTTTGAATCAAGGCAAAAACCGTAGAAAGATGCCCCACCGCGGTGGTCTAGTGACCAAGGTATTTGGATGCTGACCCTCAGGTCGCGGGATCAAATCCCAGCGACTGCATTTTCGATGAAGGCGGAAATGCTGTAGGCCCATGTGCTCATGAAGATTTGGGTGCACGTTAAAGAACCCCAGGTGGTCGAAATTTCCGGAGCCTTCCACTACGGCGTCTATCTTATCATATGTGGTTTTGGGACGTTAAACCCTACATATCAATCAAACCGTAGAAAGATGCTTCGAAGTGAAACAGGACACAAGGGCATGTATGCGCACCAGTGGTGGTAACCTTTTTTTTTGGCAAAGCCGCCAATTTTAGCCAGAAGTTGCTAAATCACAATGATAATGATGATAATTTTTCTGAGTTGTTAGTTTTTGATTATATACGAATCAAGTGAAGAGATCATTTTTTATTTAAACGATACTTTAATCAATATCTGTTGTGGCGAATAAAGTTGAACAACGCTGATACCTTCTGGCTAGACCACTGTGAACCGGTGATTAGGTGTAGTCAACCTGTTTTCAAGGGAACTGGAATAGAAAGAGTGGTCGGAATGGCCACATCACGATAAAAAGCACAGCGTCAAAAGCAGGTTGATCCTGTATGCTTTGACCTAATATATTGAAGCTCTTTCCGAGAATTCCATTGTTCTCACAGTTTCATAATTTTCTATGTCTGTTTCAGAACACACTCTACCTCAAACTTTAAAAGTCCCTCAAAAGCCGCTATGACCCCAAAAAGATATAATTGTCGCTAGTACGACGAAAAAAGACGATAAATTTAGGGACTTTCTCGCTATGTTAACACCACTGATGCGCACTCAGTCACACGCAAGAAAAATCAAAACAGAATACGCGGACCATTTTCTCTTGTTGTCACACATGAGCTCATAATAAAGCCCCTATCCTCACCTCTTTCGCCTAAGTAAAAAAAATAATTAGTGAGTACGTTGTTGTCTTGAAGGTTAAATGAAGGGTGCCGTTTTTATCCCCTGCTTAGCTTTAGCGTATATTGTTACAAAGGTGCGAGAAAGCCGGCGTGAGCCGACGGCGCCTGGCTTTACTGTCAAACACGCAGGTGTACTGGACATTTTCAGCGCCCCTAAATGAACTTCGACAGTTAACAGAGTAAGCCGACTGACTTTGACAGCCGCGCTGACGACTGAATTGTGCTTCTTACCAATATAAAGAATGTTGTAAAACAAATGAGGAAGACACCTGAAGGCGCTGAAGCGAAACCAAACCAAAATGAAAAAGAACGGCTGTCTTCTCAAATTAATTCCTGTCGGCTGTCACTTCTGCAATAGCGGCACTTTCTGCTGCCAAAAAGATAGCGTCCCGCTTATCAGATGTTGGATTCGGAGCCATTTAAGTAATGTTTATTCTAGGAGGCATGTTGCACGCTTTATTTTGCTCTGCTGCGTCAAGTGGCCGGTATAGCGGAGCATATGCATAAAAGAAGATTTTGTGGCACTTAATGTGAGGAGTCTGTCAGTGCGTGAATTCGCCTCGTAGAGCGAATTGGCCCTTTTTGCAACGGCGGAACACATACGTCCCACTTTTTCATTTCCAGGGAAAATGTTCTCTCAGATCAACCAATGGAATTAGTAAAAAGCTAGTTCATTCCTACTTTAACAAAGTTTACGTAATATCGAGAAAGTTTTTTTATTCACCATGTTTTCGAAGGACGGTTGTAGTGTTACATATAGGCGTTGATTTTCGGCAAATGTTTTATGATTGCTTCTGAAGTTTCCTCTTTTTCCGCTTGCTAGAACTCACGAATCAAAATGCTCGATAATTTCTTCCTTTTCCGTTTTTTTAGAGAGGTGACTTTAGATTCTATTCGTCACGTGTTTTTGTAAATTTATGCAGCACTTTGGCCGATAAATAGATCGGAACAATGCCCTGCTAAACTTTCCCGCTCATCCCTTAGCGAAATTGTGGATATTGGTGCGTGAAACGATTTTTCTTGATATCAGGTACCTCTTAAGAAGTTTGCGCATATTTAGGGACAACAGCTTTAATGGATAATTTTGACAGCAAAAGCAAGGTCAGCCAAATAAAGAAAATGTTTTTTTTTTCAGACGGTGAAGTAAGCTTTACAAGAACAGACCACAGGGTTATGAAGGCTCACAAGAGGCACAACTTCAGGGGATGTTCCCCTGCTGAAATGAGGTCCGCACAACTTTACTTTTCACATCTTATGACGTAACACTCAGGATTTGCACTTGCTTTGGCTGTTTCAAAATACCCGCTGATTAAATCACGAGATGACGCCTTCATGAGACAGTGGGACAGTATTTTCCCACTTTTTGAAAACACTCTCGCCAGTTTTTTTTTTTCAAAAATATAGTGACTAGATTTTGATGAAGCTTGTTTCAAAACGTTTTGTTGTATACATGACTATACCAGAGCCTTTTTTTATATCATAGTGTTAAAAATACAGGTGAACCTACAAAGGCTTGGAGGAAGTTGGTGGCGAATTCCTGCCACAGCCGCTGCATGCTGAATGGCCGCTCACTTTGCGTTCGCTTTAAGCTTGTGGTTCAAGAAATGGTCGGGCCTTGTTTATCATATATGTGCTGGTCATGTGAACGGCGTAACGTTGACAAAATGTGAGGTTTTACAACAACAACAACAACAACAACAACAACAACAACAACAACAACAACAACAACAACAACAACAACAACAACATTAATAATAATAACAACATTAATAATAATAATAATAATAATAATAATAATAATAATAATAATAATAATAATAATAATAATAATAATAATAATAATAATAATAATAATAATAATAATAATAATAATAATAATAATAATAATACTATTAATACTACTACTACTACTAATAATAAATTGCTTGTGTTGGTCACGTGGACTGGTTATTCCGGCCAAACACGAAGATGTTAAGAAGTGGAAGAAGTTATGATGCTGAAGTCAAGTTCAATGAAGGTATCAGGGCTTTTCTTTCGTTGTTGTCAGGTACGTCGTCGCAGCATAAAGTTTGCCCGGGTTAAATATTACATTTCCTGAGGGGATTGTTGGGCTGCTAGCAATCGTACTAAGCACAGTAAATATAAGAGGCTTCATTCGTGACACTATCAGTGTGTGTTTGATGGAGTGTGAGACATGGCTCGAGTCAGGCTATATTAACGTGTATGCGGCTGAACCACAGACGTGGTTGGGGCGGGTGTGACACAGGAGTGAGCTTATCGTCCCGGGATAAAATCATACCAACAGCCCATGGCACCGCGTTCTTCAGATAGTCTCGTACTGGCACCCTGTATGCTTTCTTTTAAGTTATTATTTTTTGTATTTTTGAAAATCATAGTCCCATCTTTGCTTGCCTGTGTGTAGATAATTACATTATGCCTGGCTTTCCTGCAGAATTTCCTGCAGATTATGGCTGGCTTTCTTGCAGAATTTCTTTTTAGCACCTGCAGTTTGAAAATGTCTTTTGAATAATGAACAGGATAGAAAGGGAATAAGTATCTATATGGACAGGGTACGTACCTCCTCGTTCGAGTGGCCGTAGTAGGGCTGCTTTCCGAAGGTGAAAATTTCCCACAGGACAACGCCGTAGGACCAGACGTCAGATTCCAGGGTGAACTTGCCATACATGATGCTCTCAGGGGCCATCCACCGCACAGGTAGCATGCGGGAACCACGTATCTGCGCGTTCGAATCAGTTCAGTCAGTTCCCACTGGCGTCGAGTGTATAGTCACAATACTGTCCAGGCAAATGTTCGCGGTGTGTTGTTCTCTAATTTCCGGTTAATACACGGGGATAAGAACCACTCCTTTCACCGAGATAAAGTGCAATCAATTGTCCGGGCATACTCTCCTCTTCGTTCGCCACACAGTGTGCCGATTTAGTGAGACAACTCAAGCTAATCCTTTTTAAGAACTTTCGACCCACTAACTGAATTACTTTTGGCTGCATTGCGTCGGCTAAATTTGCTGAAATTTCTGGAATGACGGGGGCATACAAAGTTAGCATTGCGTCGCTGCTCCCGTTAAAGAAGCCGCCGCTCCTACTTTAAAATTGATGAAGCTAAACCTTATCTCTGTCTCCATAAGCAGAAGCTCGAGGGACGAAAATTTCGGGCGAAGACGGCCAACTTTCTGCCATTGGTCTGGAGCACGAAAGCTTGGTATAAGAGTTGAAGTTTTCCGTCTTGGAAGCTCTTTCGAATTGCGAGCTTCTGCGCAACCAGCTGTTCATTAATAAAACACGCAGGCGATTGCACGATATATATATATATATATATATTTCGCGTTTCTTTGATGGCTTGTCGCTTCAAAGTGAAGTCCGCTCGTTTATATTGCACGTTCCTGCCTCTGAGTGCTATAGTGCTCAAGGTGAAATATAAAAATTGAGACCGCACGGTACTGCCTCTTCATGTGATTAACGCACACCACAATAACATCCTCAGAAAACACTGTGCACATAGAAGCATGAATGAACAAAAAAACGTGAGGACGCGCAGATACAGGTACACACGTAGTATCAGTGCGTCGACTTGACACACAATATAACATTAACTGTATGGTTTTATGTAGCCGTACTATGAACGAGCGATCTATACAGGTGAGTTAACAACAAGTTCAGAGTTGCATGTGATGTTTTTATCCCTTATTTTTATACCTTACTGCTTGCGTGCACGTGTGCTACGACGTAGGGCGAAGCTTTTGTTCCCAAATAATTAGGAAAATTGTAGTTTAGCTAAGTTTTTAACAATACTGGCCCTACTATAGCTACATGCTAAGTATACAGTGACAAAACTATTCACTACTTTTCATATAATACCAAAAAAAACGTTAGCGAAACGTAGTAAACGTACCGAGGGTGTAGTAAATTAAGCAGTTACAACCTTATTTACTACTTAAAAAAACGTTCTGAACATTTCAAGTCTTGACGGAAAAGTCAGCTATGTTTATTCATTCCTTTTACACTGCGGACTTGTTCACGCAGCCATCTATGCCTGTAGACGTCGCGTCGAATCGAAGGTTATCCATTGGTGTGCTAAATTTAGGATAGCGATGTTCATTCAAGTTGTTCTGCAAGCTTTGCGCGAGAACAAGTGGGCATGCGTGACCGTACCGTATTCTACAGTGTTTAAGTACGCCACCTTGTAGTAGTCACAGGTGTAGATGTCGCGGGACATGCCGAAGTCAGATATCTTGACGCACAGGTCGTTGCCCACCAAGCAGTTCCGTGTGGCCAGGTCTCTGTGCACGAAGTGCTGGGAGGACAGGTAGCACATGCCGCTCGCGATCTGCGTTGCCAGCCATGGCAGGTCCGTCTGCGCAGAGAACGGGCACTGAGTCAAGAAAATCTACGTGACGATTTGGGATCCTATTGTTCTTAAATACATCAAAACGTACAGGGCTCAATAAGATAGCCTCGCGTGAAAGGAGAATTGATAGCTATACTGGATACACGCACGCACGCACGCACACACACACACACACACACACACACACACACACACACACACACACACACACACACACACACACACACACACACACACACACACACACACACGCACACACACACACACACACACACGCACACACACGCACACACACGCACACACACGCACACACACACACACGCACACACACGCACGCACGCACACACACACACACACACACACACACACACACACACACACACACACACACACACACACACACACACACACACACACGTATACGGTGGTCTAGCGGCTAAGGTGCTCGGCTGCTGACCCGCAGGCCGCGGGATCGAATCCCGGCTGTGGCGGCTGCATTCTCGATAGAGGCGAAAATGCTGTAGGCCCATGTGCTCAGATTTAAGTGCACTTTAAAGTACCCCAGGTGGTGAAATTTCCAAAGCCCTTCACTACAGCGTCTCTCGTAATCATACGGTGATTTCGACGCGTTAAACCACACATATTAGTTATTACTCAATCAACGTATTCACCCACTTACCCCCTCGCCCCACACATAAAGAAGTGTGCGTGTAAGAGATTGCTGTTGAACAGAAAATGCGTATAGAACGAACTGACATTCGGCGATAAGTACACGTGCTGTTTGATGACACGTGACAAAGTTGCAGAATCAAAACAAACAAAACATTATTGATGATAAAACGAATGTTCAATTTTTGTTTGTAATCCAAGCCCAACGTATCACGATGGTTCTATTACTAAAGAAGCACACCATAGACAAATAAGAGCGCGATTTGATGTTAATTCGGAACAATTTCCAATTCCGCCATGCGTTTTTTTTTTTGTCAGCGCTGGCTGAGTTAATCATCGCTCACAAAGCGACGAAACAGAACCCCTGGCTACTATAGTTGGCGCTGGTGGCGCGTGTAGATTGCGGTGCCATCCAAATTTCGTGCGAGCGCACGGTAGTTCACCTATGGCTGAATCTAAATATCGCAGTGGTCTTTCAGACGACGCAGAAACAAATTATGACACTGTCAAGCTTGTTATGTAAAGACATCTCCCACCAACGTCGCCAGAGTAGGCTAACTGGGTGACGAATCATGCGTTGACGTCACATCACTATGATTGCATAGGACGATCGATTTATTGATTGGTTGGTCGACCGTTCAGATTCATGTTCGCAACAACACCGAAATAACTTAGACGAACGTATACTCTCTGTTTCCAACTTATATGAAAACTTCACGGCATCACTCTAGATGTAGTGCTAAGAAACATGGCGACAGTGCTGACATAGGCAGGTTGTTTGATCAAGCTTACGGGCCTCGGTGACAGTGAGCTCTCGTGGGATGTGTGAAACTATAAAACGACTTGGCGCGTAACAACCGACGTAAATTTGATAACACGAAGTGCGCCACAGCGTCTTCTTCGTGAAGGGGAGCGTTTTAGCGTGTGGCATAGCATATCCTTTCATACTTTTTTCCCCGCCAGCGCGCCTGATTCAGGATATATAGAGATTCTCCGAAACTGGATCATTCAAGTTGGAAAATATGTAGCATTTTCTTTTTGTACATTCTTAACCGACGTATCAGCCTGTTTCGCAAGTAATTAACTTGTGCTGCTTGTTCCAGCATTCTGCCAACGAGGTGTGCTGATAATACTGTCGAGAAAATCCAAAGCAGGCGGGCATGCGTAATGGGATAGCGTACGCATGTGTGACACGCGGAAGAAAAAGCCCGCAGAGCCTCTTTCGTTCACGAATGGCGAATAAGCCCATCTTGTTTTTACTCTCGCCTGCAAGATCGCGAATAGACTAGCGACATGTTGTCACAAAATGCTATGCTGTTACTACATTTCGCGCTTGACACAGAAATCCACTCATATTTTGTGTGCAACGTGACATAGGGTTATTTACTGGAAGCGAGATGTTCTTCCCCTGGGTCTAGATGAAAGGAGTACATACACTAGACGTTATTCGGATTGCTAGGCTAACTGCTTCAATCAATCAATCAATCAATCAATCAATCAATCAATCAATCAATCAATCAATCAATCAATCAATCAATCAATCAATCAATCAATCAATCAATCAATCAATCAATCAATCAATCAATCAATCAATTAATCAATCAATCAATCAATCAATCAATCAAAAATAACGACTTTAGCCTTACACCCCCAGAAAATGCACGATGAATGAAGCAAGAGCCATCGTAAGGAGTATAAAATTAGAGGATACTGCCGAAAGTAATATTGCATGTTACCTAGTGTAATTAACATTGCTGAAGGTCAAGATTGCCTGATTGACGCTGGGTACCAGTTAAATATAGTTCGCGTCGTAATAGAGGTAACGTGCGTTGATAATGCTCTTCAATTTAGTGCCAAAAACATTGCACGAGGGACATTTTAACTGTTGGGGTTTCATTGCTGCACAATTTTCGTTGCTGATGTGATTTACGGAAAACAATCACGATGATAATCTTACAGTTAAGTGGCCATACATGCTTGATAACGTTAACGTGTGCTTATTTTCTAATTTTATTGGTCTTCTTGGTAATTACATGGTTGGTGTACATCTTTTCGTATACGCAAGAATCATCAGAATCAAAGAAAAATTTCGCTGCTATAGCAAACTTTTGCATGCTTAAAGTGTAAAGAGGACCGCGAAGACTTCATAACGAATACACTACGTGACATGCATTTCAGCATGGTTTGTTGACGATTGACATATAGCATTGAGATATAAACTTAGCTGCCTTAATAAAGGCTGTTCAGCATTATACAGAAAAATGGCTGTCGGAATAATTACATCACCCCTTAATATGTGCCGTTAAATTACGCGGTCGCTGACCCGCAGGTCGCGAGGTTGAATCTCCGCTACGGTGGCTGCATTTTCGATGGAGGCGAAAATGCTGTAGGCCCATGTGCTCAGATTTGGGTGCACGTTAAAAAATCCCAGGGGGTCGAAATTTCCGGTGCCCTCCACTAGAGCGCCTGTAATAATCATATGATGGTTTTGGGACAATTAACCCCACATATAAATCGGTTATTCACTTAATCAATCAATCAATCAATTATTAAATAACGCGTTGACTTAGACGTGCTAAGTTGGCGTACAATAATTTTAGTACCAACAGCTAATTTCTTTGTTCACTTTAATTCTTGCGTACACCTTACACAATAGAAGCACGTTAGAAAAATATCAATTGTCTTGAAAGGTTCTCATATATACGGCCGCCAAGAAATTTGATTTACTGATGCAAATGTCTGGCCTATTGTTTTGTTGCGTCTTATTTCATTTTCACCAGCTGCGATCGTTTAACGGCTGTGGTGTTGTATACAGTTTGAAGTTGTCAGTTCAATCCTTGCAGCAGCGGCTCCATTTCCATTGATATTGAATGCAAGAACACAAGTAAGCTTTAAGTATACATTTAACACCTGGTTGAAATTCCCTTACCACGGGTATATGCTTCGCAGCTCTGGCACGCGAAACCATGGGAATAACTATTTCAATCGCGCATTGTTTTTACACTGCGCTACACAGCACAGCCTGTCCTTCGGGCACTTCAGAAGTGAAACGTTAGACAATACTGCTTTTGAAATTGTTTACCCGCGAAGACACAAAAATTGACAAAACGTATAGGCCAGTTTGAAAAAAAATATTACTTATGCAAATAGGCTGCCCCGTAATATTAAATAGTGCGTTCATGTATCTTGAAGTTTACCGTGTGCACAGTAGACTTGGCATATTTTAATGGAACGATGTGCACAATGTATCGGTTCTAAGGATTCAGAGCGAACTAATGGTTATCGATTCAGATGTGTTTACCATGTAATGCTGTGTAATGACTTTTCTAACGAAATAGGCAGCACTTCATCGTATTTGAAAGAAACACTAAAACACTCGGCGCCTATGAGTGCGGAGCGCGGAATGGGACAGGTGGACGCAGTAGGGCAAAAGGTACTATAAAATATGAATAATGTTTTCAAGTACACTTTAGCTTTCGTATTTTATACAAAGCTTTAACACGTTGCTCAAATATTATACCATATTCACACCCCAGAGGTGCGAAAAGCGAATAATAAGAATTCATTTTCAGCGTGCCGAAAGAAATAATTAGCATATAGATTATGCAACAGACGCGGGAACTCAAATGTACCACCACCGCTCAACTTCAGCCGGCCTGTTACGCGCATAGGAAGATATAGTGTTCCATTGTGTGATATTTAAATTACTACGCTGGCACCAAGAGGAGGAAGCCTGTCGTGTTTCCGCCTTTAGGCCGATGCAAGGACTTTCAGCAGTCTTAGAACTATATACGGCAACCAACAAAAGTACCGGTGAAAGATCAGCCATGGATAGCACTTACATTGCATATTCCTTGTTTTTTTTTGCTCACATTTCATTGCTTGCGTTAGTTTAATGCGGCTGCCAAGTGTAATACTATTGATTGATTGACATGTGGGGCTTAACGTCCCAAAACCACCATATGATTATGAGAGACGCCGTAGTGGAGGGCTCCGGAAATTTCGACCACCAGGGGTGCTTCAACATGCACCCGAATTCGAGCACACGGGCCTACAGCATTTCCGCCTCCATTGAAAATGTAGCTGCCGCAGCCAGGATTCAAACCCGCGACCTGCGGGTCAGCAGCCGAGTACCTTAGCCACTAGACCATCGTGGTGGGGCTATAATACTATAAGAGGCATGCTTCGTGATGTGCTAACATATCGTAACAATGCATTTTATTTGTGAAATATTTTTCCACGTTGATCGCTTGGCTCAGAAGTCACCGTTACGGGCCTCTCGTAATGGGGATGCGAAAATTATGATAGAAGATGTCAGCTCCGCACCTCGAGATCCT